GCCTTGCCATATACTATATTTGCCATTGTGGAAGGAAAACAGATTCCAGATGCATCTCTTTTTCTTTTTTTTTTTAATAAGAAACAAAGACTTCTCATTAACAAAAAAGACAGCCTAACAGCAGGGCCGAGAAGCCCCCCAGAGCAACTGCATTACATTTTGCCAATCATGTTGAAACAAAGCTATACTGTAATTACAAATTTTCTATAGGTAAGGCACCACAAGGCCTTAGTAAACTGAAGTTTCTCACAAAAAATGTCAAAAGAGAGAGCAAGATTGTTGAAAACACGTTTGTTTCTTTCCTTCCAAATGCTCCACAAAAGCGCCTGAGCTGCACAGCTCCACAAGATCTTCCCTTTTCCTTTCAAAAGTCCCCCTTGCGTTACTTCCATCACCCAATCCTCAATCGAACGGGGGAGACAGCCTACAAACCACACCTTTGCATGATAAAGATTAAAGACCCACCCTTGGTAAGCAAAAGGGCCGTGTATAAAAAGATGGTCTATATCCTCTGCATTTTTGAGACACAAAAGGCAGGCTGAGGGGGATAACATCCAATTTGGGAGTTTTTCTGAAGCTTCTCATGTGTATTAAGGCTTCTGTAAGCAATACTCCACAGGAAGACTTTCACCATCACCTTCTTTGGGCAAGGGAATTTCCAAATGGCCTTAACAAAAGGAGAGAGGAATCTTGGAGTCACTTCCGTTAGCTTGTGAAAAGCTGATTTCGTGGTGAACTTCTTCTCCCCTTCGATGCTCCATTCTATCTTATCCTCCTCATTTCTTAATCGAAAGGAAGCCAATAAGTTCACTAGCCGAATCCAACTATCCACCTCGTGGTCTTTTAGGCCTCTTCTGAATCCCAGGTTCTAATCCGCCTGATCTTCCGACCAACAATCAGCCACAGTACTATCTTTTTTATCAAAAATGCTAAACAAAACGGGGAAGCTAACCTCAGAGAGTCCTGCCCAATCCACAAGTCTTTCCAGAATCTACCTTTTTCCCATTTTGGTCCTCGTAAGAAGTGAATCGAAGAAAGACCAGTGTTTGTTTGGCAATGTCAATCCAAGGCCCGCCACTGCCCTTCCTCCTCGGTAAAGAAGGAAGCCAACTCCCATTTTCTACCTCATAAATACTAGTTATCACTTTTTTCCACAGCGGGTCTTCTTCTTGAGTATATCTCCAAAGCCATTTCTATAATAAGGCTTCATTCATCTGTTTGAGATCTCCTATTCCAAAGCCATACATTCTTGGGAGTGTACTATCCCAATTTACTAAATGGCGTTGGGGGTGAAGACCATCTCTGTGATAATCTTCGAGGGGGCCTTAAAAATTGAAAAGGCATAGATGGGGATGCTACTTAGAACCGACGAAGCCAAAGTAAGTCTTCCTCCCTTCGAATGCAACAGATTACTGTAAGGGCAACTGATTTCGTTTGGATCTCTTATTGCAAACGAAATTGTTGATGACTGGATCTTCAAAAGTAAAAAATGCCTCGTGCTCAAGTTGGACCTCAAGAAAGCTATCGACTAAGTTGAAATGGACTTCTCAGATGCAATTCTATAGGCCAAGGGCAGTGCTTTCAAAGCACAAAATCTTTTAATCACCTCAAGGCGAGGAGTGATAGAAAGGCATTGCTTGAGTGAAGCAACGCGTACTTAATAAAATAGTAAATAATAAATAAATATCATCTTACGTTAGATATCCTATAAATGAATTAAATACACCCTAACTCGTCAACTTAATTGTTAGGGGAAAACAAGAGCTTTTGCCAATTTAGAAGCTTGAGCGTAAGAGAAGAGTAAGGCGAAGAAGAAGACGACACAAGGGTTTAAGTGGTTCAGCCTAACGTTGGCCTACGTCCACTGTAAGGCTAATCTTTCACTTCTTTTAGAGAGAATTACAAAGGGAATTTCTTCATMGTTCTTCCAGAAGTACATAATGAGCTATTTAAAGGGCTTTAGCCTAATAACTAACTCTTTACAGAAGTACTCTGTTTTACCCATAGTTTCTGTTGTATTCAACCACGGTAAATATTACAAATCTCCACCTTTGAAGACATACAGAAGGYGAAAGACCAGCCCTTTTAAYCTGCTTTTTATCCTTTCTCMGGTATGTAGATTCCAGCCAATCTCAGACAATGTTCAAACTTTGCTTGGGTGACTGTTTTAGTTAACATATMTGCAGCATTATCAGAGGTATGGACTTTTATCACTTCTATYGTACCTTTTTCAATTTGTTCTTTGACAAAATGAAACTTTAYGTCAATGTGCTTGGTCCTGCTGTGGAATTGTTGATTTTTCGACAARMRRATTGTACTTTGATTATCACAGAAGATTTTTACTTTGGATTGATCAAAACCAAAATCTTTCAAGAGACCCTTCAACCACAAAGCCTCTTTGACTGCTTCTGAAAGGGCTATAAACTCTGCTTCTGTGGTGGAGAGTGCTACCACTGATTGGAGTGTAGCTTTCCAACTTATTATGTTCTCTCCAACTAGGAATAAGTATSCTGATAAGGACCTTCTCTTGTCTAAGTCCYCCRCATAGTCAGAGTCAACATAGCCATAAAGYTCCAACTCTTGTCTTTTCACTTGCTTGTATGTAATGCCTACGTTTTCAGTTCCTCTTAGGTATCTCAATACCCATTTTGCAGCTTCCCAATGTCTTTTTCCTGGGTTTGACATAAATCTACTAATTACACTGGTTGAGTAAGCCAAATCTGGTCTTGTACATATCATTAAGTACATTAAGCTGCCTACAACACTTGAATAAGGTATTGAGTTCATGTACCTTTTKTGTTCAGTATCATTTTCATCAGGTGAATTTGTAGATGACAGCTTGAAGTGTTGAGCCAAAGGAACTTTTACTGGTTTGGCTTCATTCATCTTGAATTTCATAAGTATTCTTCTGCTATACGAAGTTTGAGTAACTCTCATCTCAGCTAGTTTTCTGTCTCTGTAGATTTCATATGCCTAGGATCTTTTTTGCTTCTCCTAGATCTTTCATGTCAAATTCAGCTTTCAAGCATTTCTTCACCTGTTGTAAATCTTCCATTCTCTTGCTGGCTAATAACATGTCATCTACGTATAGTAGTAGAAAAACATTATTTCTTTCTGATGTAGTCTTCACATAAAAACAACTGTCGTATGCACTTCTAATGAAACCCACTTTTGTAATAAATTCATCAAATCTATGGTACCGAGATCTTGGTGACTGTTTTAATCCATATAAGGATTTGTTTAAGAGACAAACCTGGTTTTCCTTTCCCTTTTGTTGGTATCCCTCTGGTTGCTTTAAAAATATTGTCTCTGTCAAATGACCATGTAAGAAGGCTGTTTTTACATCTAGTTGATCTAGTTCTAACTCCATTTGTGTTACTAGAGCTAGAAGCATTCTGATAGTCGTTTGTTTCACAACTGGGGAAAAAATTTCTGAGTAATCAATACCTTCTCTTTGTGTGAAACCCTTGGCAACTAGTCWTGCTTTGTATCTGGGTTGTTGGAATCCTGGAATTTCCTCTTTGAATTTATAGATCCATTTGGATGCTATCGGTTTGTATCCCATAGGTAGTGGTACTAGGGTCCATGTGTTATTAACTTCTAATGAGTGCATCTCATCATTCATGGCCTCAATCCACTTATGAGCATTTRGCCCATTTACAGMTTCTTCAAAACTTTGTGGTTCAACATCATTTAGGGTGTGTGCAACACTCAAGGCAGCTGCAATTACATTGGAGTCACTATACCTCTTTGGTGGATGAATTTCTCTTCTCTGTCTGTCTCTAGCAAGTGAGTAGTCAGCCAAATCAGATTGTTGCCTAGAGGTTTCACCTATATGTTGAGTTTCATCCCCTTCCACTACTTCAGATTCATCGTGACCAAGACCAACTTGATTTCTACTAACCTTTATTTCAGTTGGTAACTSCACCTCAATCTTGGATTGTTCAACTGCTTTRGTAGTTGATTCATGAACTTCTTGATACATAAACATATCTTCTTCTCTAAAAATTACATCCCTGCTGTTTATGCATCTCTGATCAGTGGGATGCCACATTCTGTAACCTTTAACTCCCTCAGTGAACCCTACAAACATACATCTTATCGCTCTTGGTTTTAGTTTACCTTGGTTTATGTGTACAAAGCCAACACAACCAAAGATTTTTAAATTGTTAAGCTTTGGTGGACGCTTTGTCCATTTTTCTTCAGGAGTTAGAAAACCAAGRGATGTATGTGGGCATCTATTGATGGTAAACACTGCATATGAAGCAGCTTCTGCCCAGAATCTTTCTRGTAGGCTAGCATCTGATAAAAGACACCTTATTCTCTCAGCTATTGTCCTGTTTAGRCGTTCAGCCACACCATTTTGTTGAGGTGTGTGTCTAACGGTCTTGTGATGAGTAATGCCATTGTCTTTGCARAACGAGCTAAACTCTTCCCCACAGAATTCCAAACCGTTGTCTGTTCTTAAGTATCTTACAGTTCTTCTAGTTTGATTTTCAACTAATTTCTTCCAGTCTCTAAACCTTTCAGTTGCTTGATCTTTAGTCTTTAGAAAAAATATCCATGTTTTTCTTGAAAAATCATCAATGATAGAGAGAAAATACCTCGAACCGCTTAATGACGGCGTTCTTGCAGGTCCCCATAGATCTGAATAGATGTAGTCCAAAATTCCTTTTGTCACATGATCTGATTTCTGAAAGCTCTGCCTTTTAGCCTTTCCGACAATGCAGTGTTCGCAGAAACTCAATTCTTCATTTAGGCCTGTCGGTAGAATACCTTGCTTACCTAACTCTTGTAAGCCTTTACCACTTATATGAGATAAGCGTTTGTGCCAGATATCKCCTCTTGAAAGACTACCTTCTGATGATACAAGTGCCGCTCCTGCTGACTCTACATTTTGGATTACATATAGACCATTGACTTTCTCACCAACCAATACCACTTTTGAATCCTTTTTTACTTCAAAAGTACCTCCAGATCCATTGTATTCACAGCCAATGGCATCAAGCATGCCAAGAGAAATTAAGTTTCTCTTAAGACTTGGAACATGTCTCACATTTTGGAGAAATTTCAAAGACCCATCTTTCATTTTCAGAGATACAGTACCAATACCGGCTACCTTGCAAACATGATTATTTCCCATATATACAGAACCACCATCCCATTCCTCGTAAGTTCTGAACCAAGCTTTCGAAGGTGTCATATGGTAGGAGCACCCCGAATCAAGAACCCAATCTTGATTTTCTTGAGATCCACTTTGTTCAGCACTGTGATCAATTGCAGCTAGAACATCTGAATATGTGARGGCATTTTCACCAACTGAGGCTTCACCAGATTTGTTTTTCTTATTTTTCCAGTTCTGTTTTCTTTTAAGGGAAAAACCGTCTTTCTTTAAATGTCCCTCCTTATGACAATAGCTACATTTGATTTTAGATTTTCCTTTATCATCTTGTTGATTTTTCTGATCTTTCCAGCCGGTTTTATTTTTGTCCTTTGCAAAATGACCTTCGCCGTTAATTCTCTCTCGTTTAAGACGCCAATAGCTCTAATTCTTTGGTTCTTACTGCTGAAATTATTGCATCAGTAGATATTGATTCTCTTCCATATTTCAAGGCCACTTTCACTTCTTTATATGCTTCTGGAAGAGAGTTCAACAAGATAAAAGCTTCATTTTCATCTCCTATTTTTTCACCGAGATTTTTAAACTCTGAAGATAGTTTCTTGAAATCATCTAAATTCTCACTCAAGGATCTTGAATTATCCATCCTACATGTGAAAAATTTCTCTCTGATATACGCCTTATTTGGTAAATCTTTAGCAAGATATATCTCATCTAATTTGTTCCATACCTTGTATGCAGTTTCGAGATCAATAACTTGCCGTAGGACATTATCACTAAGATTCAGAATGATTGCCCCATAAGCGATCTCTTCCATTGTCTCCTTTTCTTCAGTTGACATCGACTCAGGTAGCTTTGCTGGATCAAGAATTGCTTTGGAAGCTTTCTGCTGTCCAAGAATARCTTTAATCTTGATTTTCCACAGCTCAAAGTCGCCTTTTCCATCGAACTTCTCAATCTCATACCTCGCTACAGCCATCGCTGGATCTTGCTTCGTGAATTAACCAAAACTCCTGTGAACTGTGGCTCTGATACCAATTTTGTTAGGGGAAAACAAGAGCTTTTGCCAATTTAGAAGCTTGAGCGTAAGAGAAGAGTAAGGCGAAGAAGAAGACGACACAAGGGTTTAAGTGGT